CCCACGGCAAGCACAAGCTCGGCGTGTGAACAGCTGGGCAGGGGGCAGGTTTCCTTCCCGTTCCTTCCCTCCCGTTCTCCTGTAGAATGGGTGCGGATATAGATAGGAGTTCGTTTTTTTCATGATTTTACGAGTCTAAAGTCAGGGTACGCACTATACATTACGGTACTCAAAAATATGTCAGATATGAAAACAATAGGTTAATTTTAAATAGAAACAAGACCCAGCACTTCCAACTTGCATGGTACAATTATAGAAGTCTGATACATTTTAGTGGTTTTTAATTGAAAAATATTGAATTCAGGGGCATATTACAATAAAAAATTTTACTGAAATCTTTGCCATTCTTCACATTACAGAAATATTGCTGTCCTGTAACATTATGTTAAAGAGAACTATAAAAAGTTTTTAATTTTTATTTATTTTTAAAAGGCATGATAACAAAATACATATATACATGCACAAGAACTCTAAAAATGATATATGCTTTTGCCTTTTAGCAAAATTATGGATATTGAAGATAGAGATAAATATATCTCCTCAGGGAAGGCATCTTATTGTCCTTCTTTATGAGTGAAGAAGACCTCTAATTTACTCGGGCCACAGGCATTACTGAATTATTGAAGATTTTCTCTAGAGTGATTTCCTTTCTGTCTTTCATTTTTCAAAAGATAAAACTTTCTATTTATTAATTTTAAAAAAAGAGCTTTTTCATTCTGAATTTGCAATGGATTAAAATTAATAAAAACCACGACTGCTGACCACTCAGCACTTTTCATATGAATATTACAAACTTTTTTTCCCTTTTAACAGTTTGATAAGCATTTTAATTATTTATCTATTGTTAGTCATTACCTTTAGATAATGAAGTGTGCATATTTCATGCACAGCAAAATATCAGTTCAAATCTCACAGGCAACACTGTTTACAGACTGATGTAAACCAGCGGGTCTCACATTTTTTGGCCCATGGACCACCTGGCTCATTGTAAACCTTTCTGCAGACCACCAGTTTCTAATGGAAACTCATTGTTAATTATATAGTTACGCTTTAGCCATTTTGCTAGTGCTGCAGCAGCTGGGGAGAATGATTTAATTTAAATGATTAAACAAGATTAAGGGTGCGTCTACACTGGCATGATACTGCGCAAAAGCAGTTGCTTTTGTACAAAATCTTGCCACCTATCTACACTGGCCGCAAGTATTTGCGCAAGAACACTGACTTTGTAATGTACAAAATCAGTGGTTCTTGCGCAAATACTCCGACGCTCCCGCTCAGGGATAAGCCCTCTTGCGCAAGTATTTTTGCGCAAGAGGGCCAGTGTGGACAGCCACGTTAATTTCTTGCATAAGAAAGCCCAATGGCTAAAATGGCCATCGGAGCTTTCTTGCACAAGAAAGCGTCTACACTGGCACGGATGCTTTTACGCAAAAGCAAATCTTTTGTGCAAAGTCACATGCCAGTGTAGACACTCTCTTGCGCAAATACTTTTAACGGAAAAACTTTTCCGTTAAAAGTATTTGCAAAAAATCATGCCAGTGTAGACGCAGCCTTAGTGTTTGAATGGCCAGCCCAGAAAGCAACAGCAATTGGGGATTGAAGATGATCCCATTTTATTATACTGAATACCTGCAATCAGTTTGAATGGGAAGCAGATAAATGACTTGTAGACAGGTTGGGAAATTGATTTGTTTAGCATTCAAATAAGTCCAGAGTCTTCACAGACATTTCCTAAACCCTAAACCCTAGCAGCACATCTCCGTTCATATTATTATTCCAGACTTTTATGTCCCCAATAAAATGCTACAAAGGGCACATAAAAAGCTGTGAATCTTCTCAAAATGAGTGTTCCTCCAAAGATATGCCATTCATCTTACAAGACCTGTGGCCATCCAAAGCCGGCCTTGTCACATTTCTTAAACCCTGGTGAGCCAGGCAGTGCTGGCTTCCATAAAACTCCATTTTATTTTTTTTAAAGGACTTGGCGCTGTCTCACCAGTCTCAAGTCTATGAATGCAGTTTTTCCTTTTTCTTTTTTTAAATGAAGGGTCATCATCAGACTCACTTTCAGTGCGTTGCGTCTCAGTGGCATTAATGGCCTTACTATTTCTTTTTCTTTCTTTCTCTTTCTTTTGCTAGCAACTAAAACATTGTTTCCTGTTCTTTGTACCTTTAAGTAATTTACTCAAACACAAATCTTATCTACAGGTATGTGAAGAGCAGACAGATCGAGCTCCATCCGCGACCGATCACCGTACAAAGGAACTGGGAGGAATTGGGCCACACACACACAAACTCCAAAGGTGTGAATGACGCACAGCCTGGCCAGATACTGCTAGAAAAGTCTCCGATCTGCTGCACCGGGACGAGCCCAACACCAACAGTGGAGCACCCACAGGGATATCAATCGAAGAAGAACATTATAATTTATGGGTCCTGCAGCTTTCACACATCATGAAAAATAATGTTAATAAAATTATGTTAATCAACATGGGTGTGTATAACTGTACAGTTGAAACTGACTTAACTGTTTTGAACTAGGATCTATAATATTGTGTTGCTAGGAGATTTACTTCCAGATATCAAAATGATGACAGCCCTACTCCTAAAGTGTGAAAAAAAATCAAAGGTTCAAATATGTAGCGCAGTCAGCTTTTAATTCATCAAGTTAAATAAATTAAAACCTAACCACATGACATTCCACTACTATATGTTTTGTTTACACAGTATTATTTGGTTGCTATTTAATGGTGCCTGGTTTTCTGTAGGTAAAGGCAGAGGCAGTGCACTAAAAGACAAGTTTATAGATTTCTTCCTCTCCCCCTAGGATATAATTATGACTTTGAACGTGATAAAGAACATTTTATGATGCATACTGCATTATTTTGATGCTTTCCACATCACAATGCTGTTTTCTCAGCCCTTTCTGCGTCACTGATAAAAAAAACCCAGAATCCTAGAACTGGAAGGGATCTCAAGAGGTATCGAGTCCAGTCCCCTGCCCTCACAATTCAGAATTTATTCCACCTAGGGATGTAAGCGACCCAACAGTCATGGCTCATGCAGATGCTATGCCTCTGCATTTTAAACATAGTAAGAGCCTTGTGGCTCTTACTACATTTAAAATGCAGAACCGTAGTGTGGGTGGCTCTGCAGAGCGGTCCTATCAACTAATCGTATAGTTGATACAAGTCAATTAGCTCAGTAACCTCAATTTAACATCCTTAATTCCACTTTAGTTCTGTATAAATACATTTATACCATAGGAGTGATCCATTAATCTGTCCATGTTTAAAATCTCTAGCCATGACTTCATAAAAAAAATCTGTGTTTCTTATCTTATCATTCTATCATTGCACCTAATAAACAGTTCCCCTCTACCATATTTCCTATACCCATAAAGGAAGTGGCCACCGGGAGGCTTAAAAAAAAAAACTACCCCAGATAAAAACCCCCAAAACTGTTCCTCAAAGAGTAGTCCACCTATATGTCAGTATTAATCCGATACAAGTGACAGACTATTTTTGGAATTAAAGTGCTTCAAATCTCTAGTATAGGTTCGTTCGAACTAGCGGGATAATGTAGGCATACCGAACTTGCTAATGAAGCCCGGGATTTGAATTTCCCGGGCTTCATTAGCATAAAGCCGGCGCCGCCATTTTTAAAAGCTGGCTAGTGCGAACCCCGTGCCGCGCGGCTACACGCGGCACGGGCTAGATAGTTCGAACTACGTAGCCATTCCGAACTATCTGTACTCCTCCGAACTATCTATGGAACGAGGGGTAGTGTAGACATACCCTAGTATAGGTTGAACCTCTCTAGTTTGGCACCCTCAGGACCTGACCGGTGCTGAACCTGAGAATTTGCTGAACCATGGGAGATCAATGTTGTCTAGCAGCATTACCAACACTTCCACTGCTTACTGGGCTCTTAGAAGGCATTTGGGGTAAATTAGAGCTAAATAACTGCATAGAACACAGAATGCCAGGACTGGTGGCTGTAAACAAACTTTACTGGATTGCAGGAAACTTGGCCACACCCATGATAAGTGAACATCCAGCTAACTAAAACCATGCCAAACCACAGATGTTGCTGAACCAGAGTGCCAGTCTGAAGAGATTCAACCTATATTATTATTTGAAGGAGGAAAAAATGTAATAACTAAGGGGACCAAAAATTAGTCTAAAATGAGCAGAAACCCTACCTCTGGGAAACTAGCCAGGTAAGAAAATGAACTTCACAGTGAATGTATTTTCAGAACAATTCTTAGCACCATTCACAAATGTTAATTTAATAAAATAACTTCCAAATCACGGATCAAAGTGAAGAAGCTTCTCTGGTTATCCAGATTGTTTAGTGCATGTATATGTATTCCAGTTGGGGACTCCATGTCAGGATCAGATGAACAGAATTTAACAGAATGGCAATCACAACCAAACATAGGAGATAATTCAAAACTGCCTGTGGAGCCTGATTCACAGCTCATTTAAGCTAATAGGAGTCCTTTCATTTATTTCAGCAGGTTTTGCATGTAACACAGGAAGAGCTAACAAACTACAGGTATTCATCTAATTTTTTATCATGATTCACCATGAGAAATACAATGTAATTATAATAAAAGTAAACTATAATACTTAAAAATAGGGCACAATACAAAAAGTGTAACACCTAATTATATGACACTAGCTTCATAACTAGGTTTTTGCCAATAAAAGGAAACCTTTTCCACCTCTAACATATGCATGCGCACGCACACACACAAAATTACCTACACAGTATGTGAATGCACACCAGCAATGGTGTAAATTCCAGTGCACAGCTGCATATCAAGCACTGTTCATGCTTACCCTGTTGACATACACAAACTGTTCCTTAGTGCATGCTTCCACAGTCTCACAATATTAGACCAACATGCATTAAGGAACTTTTAGTGCATCAGCAAGGTCCAAACTTCATTGCATATAACTAATTAACATTTAGAAAAAAATTCAGTATCTCACCTAGTTGCAATATCATGGCTGTATCACTGAAGGCTCGTGTCACTAATCTGAAATGTCTGTAGAGTGGATAACATAAAACTCTTCTTCCAAAGGATACCAGGATTTCAGGAATACTAGTGAAACTCTGTGTAGCAATGAAATTTAATAATTAATTTATATAATTATAATGATTTATAATTAAATAAAAAGGCACATAGTAATTTATTTTTTAAAAGACATAATAGCTATACCCGTAAAATCGCGAGTATAATGCGCACTTTTCCCCCTTTTTTAGGGTCATATCCAGGGTGCACATTATAAATAGGGGGTTATCTTGTCAAGTTTTAAACTCATCCTCAGCAGGCGCGAGCTGGGGGGGGGAGCAGGCGGGCCAACAGGCGCGAGCTCAGCGCATAGACAGCTAGGCAGGGGAAGTCCCCACGGCAAGCACAAGCTCGGCGTGTGAACAGCTGGGCAGGGGGCAGGTTTCCTTCCCGTTCCTTCCCTCCCGTTCTCCTGTAGAATGGGTGCGGATATAGATAGGAGTTCGTTTTTTTCATGATTTTACGAGTCTAAAGTCAGGGTACGCACTATACATTACGGTACTCAAAAATATGTCAGATATGAAAACAATAGGTTAATTTTAAATAGAAACAAGACCCAGCACTTCCAACTTGCATGGTACAATTATAGAAGTCTGATACATTTTAGTGGTTTTTAATTGAAAAATATTGAATTCAGGGGCATATTACAATAAAAAATTTTACTGAAATCTTTGCCATTCTTCACATTACAGAAATATTGCTGTCCTGTAACATTATGTTAAAGAGAACTATACAAAGTTTTTAATTTTTATTTATTTTTAAAAGGCATGATAACAAAATACATATATACATGCACAAGAACTCTAAAAATGATATATGCTTTTGCCTTTTAGCAAAATTATGGATATTGAAGATAGAGATAAATATATCTCCTCAGGGAAGGCATCTTATTGTCCTTCTTTATGAGTGAAGAAGACCTCTAATTTACTCGGGCCACAGGCATTACTGAATTATTGAAGATTTTCTCTAGAGTGATTTCCTTTCTGTCTTTCATTTTTCAAAAGATAAAACTTTCTATTTATTAATTTTAAAAAAAGAGCTTTTTCATTCTGAATTTGCAATGGATTAAAATTAATAAAAACCACGACTGCTGACCACTCAGCACTTTTCATATGAATATTACAAACTTTTTTTCCCTTTTAACAGTTTGATAAGCATTTTAATTATTTATCTATTGTTAGTCATTACCTTTAGATAATGAAGTGTGCATATTTCATGCACAGCAAAATATCAGTTCAAATCTCACAGGCAACACTGTTTACAGACTGATGTAAACCAGCGGGTCTCACATTTTTTGGCCCATGGACCACCTGGCTCATTGTAAACCTTTCTGCAGACCACCAGTTTCTAATGGAAACTCATTGTTAATTATATAGTTACGCTTTAGCCATTTTGCTAGTGCTGCAGCAGCTGGGGAGAATGATTTAATTTAAATGATTAAACAAGATTAAGGGTGCGTCTACACTGGCATGATACTGCGCAAAAGCAGTTGCTTTTGTACAAAATCTTGCCACCTATCTACACTGGCCGCAAGTATTTGCGCAAGAACACTGACTTTGTAATGTACAAAATCAGTGGTTCTTGCGCAAATACTCCGACGCTCCCGCTCAGGGATAAGCCCTCTTGCGCAAGTATTTTTGCGCAAGAGGGCCAGTGTGGACAGCCACGTTAATTTCTTGCATAAGAAAGCCCAATGGCTAAAATGGCCATCGGAGCTTTCTTGCACAAGAAAGCGTCTACACTGGCACGGATGCTTTTACGCAAAAGCAAATCTTTTGTGCAAAGTCACATGCCAGTGTAGACACTCTCTTGCGCAAATACTTTTAACGGAAAAACTTTTCCGTTAAAAGTATTTGCGCAAAATCATGCCAGTCTAGACGCAACCTCAGTGTTTTAACTTTCTCATATTCGTTTTTCAAACTTCATTTTAAATAAAGTAAAATATTAATTTATGACTAACACAAAAGGTTTCAATGTTCTGTGTTAATGGCAGGGGTGGGGAACCTTTTTTGGATTGAGGCCATTGACTCACAGAAGTATCCATTAAGGACCACACAAGTGAGAAACAAACAAAAAAAAACCCTCCAAAACCCCCCAAGCCTCACTGATGTGGCCCCCAACTGAAACATATCATTCCTCTGGTGCTCCAGCCCCATGGGGTGAGGGGAAAGGACAGGGAGGACTGAGGTTCAGGGCTTCCCATACACCAGATTTACATTTCTGAGCTTCTGGAGTTGGTGAATTTTGTGGACCCGTTTAGGTTCTGGGTTGGGGAAAGGAGGGTTTTAGTGTGCGGGACAAGGCTGCCAGCTAGTGGGATACGGATGCAGGATCTGCATAGGAGGTGAGGTGGAGGAGGATGCAAGGTCTGGGTCACAGGTAGGGTACAGAAGCAGGCTGGGAGTAGGGTGTCTGACTAGGAGGGAGGGTGTAGGAGTAAGCTGGGTGTGCGGGATCTCGGTGGGAGAGTGAGTAAGGGGGATTGCAGCGCGGGGGTTTGGGTATGGAGGGGTGCATACATGGCTTTGGACCCCCATTGCTCCCAAGCACCACCTCCCGCTGCTCCCACTGCTTCCTGACAGCACATCACTGTGCTGCGGTTCATGGGATTATGGGGGGGAGAGGCAGCTCAGCCCCACTCCTTCTCCACACAGCAGGAAGCCCCCCCAGCCGCTCCAGCCTCGCAGACATAGAACCACAGAAGAGGAGGGCTGGAAGAGACCCTAGGAGGTGAGCTATGGGCGCAGGGGTAGGAGCATGCTGCTGTCCCCAGAGTAATCTGGCTGGGAAAAGCCCAGGGCCCTGCGGCTCCACCGGTGAGGGCTAATCTGCAGCACAGTTCCTTTCCACCTGCCACATCTGCGAAGCTCATTCCCCTGCATCTCCGCAAACTCCCAGACAAGCCTGCCGCATGGGGACCCACGCCTGCCAAATGCACCAGATCTTGCAAATAACCCGGTGCACCCCTCTCCCCACCCACCATTCCTCACTGCCTTTTTGCAAGGAAGATGCTCCCCCCCAGGGTTAGACCCACCAGCCAGCACATGCAAAGGAATCCAAATTGAAAGCAAAAGGAATGGAAACTTTCCAACCCCCCTGCTGAGCGCTGTTTGCAAGCCAGGGACTACAGCCTACTCACTGTGCCCGCTGGAGAAAAGCCAACGGGCAGTGAGAGCCTGCCCCAAGTTCGCCCGCTGCACTAAGCCAGCACACAGCGCTCCTGCCCTCAGCTTTTGCCTCCTGCATGGCCCAGCCAGTGCTCCAGCCCCCTGGCATTTCCTTCTTTTCCCCCCACATCAAGTCCCTTAATGAGCTGATGGGAGAAATCTGAGCAGAGCCCTGCACTGCCAGAGCTAAACCCACAGAGCAGTTCAAGGAAATCCTTCTTGCTCTCAACCCCCATGCTGCAAGAAACACCCTCTACCAGGCTCCACTTGCAGCCTCTTCCTGTTTAAGCCCCTTCCTCCCCAACCCCCTCTCAGAGATGGGAAATCCCCACTCCCTTTGCACCTCCAGAGTTCTGTGCACAAAGCCGGAGCAAGTTCCCAGATGCATGGGGAAAGAAGAGGGGTTGAGTTTAAGTTGCAGACCACCTGTAAGACAGCTGCAGATCACTAGTAGTCCACAGACCACACTTTTGAGAATCACTGATGTAAACATGACTTGTCCAGCAGATTGAGAGTTTGTCTTCACATACGGCACTACAGCGCCTCCACCACCATAGTTAATCCATCTCCCTGAGCCTTGTCTACACTAACAGGAAGATCGCCACTGCCGCGATCAATCTACTGGAGTTCAATGTAGCAAGTCTAGTTATGACTCACTAAACCAAACTCAGAAGGCACTCCTGCCTGCATCCAGTACTCCTGCTTTTGCTGCTGTCAGCCTCCCGCTATGGGGATGCCACCAGGCTTGGTTTAAGATAAAATGACTCAAGCTGTGTATTCTAACTAGCATATCTTCATCTGAGCTTCTAGATCTAGTGTAGACATGGCCTGAGAGGTAGTAGCTCTATTGGGAGGAGAAACTCTCCCATTGACACCACGAAGTCTACACAGGAAGTGAGATTAGGCTTTATAATTACTTCACTGAGGAGTGTGGATTTTTCACGCTCACCAACATAGTTAAATCAATATAGGTCCATAGTGTAGACCAGTGGTCTCCAACCTTTTTACACCCAAGATCACTTTTTAAATCTCAGAACAGGCGAAGACCTACCGCCCCGCCCCTTCCTTGAAGCCCCACCCTCTCTATTCTCCTCCTGTCCATCATTTGCTATCCCCAGCCCTTACTTACACACTCTGATAAACAGTTTATTTTTAAATTATGTGATGTATAAAATTAAAATCACGTGTTTATAGTTATGAAATAAATGGTCTGGTTTTTATTCATGCTATTTAAATCTAC